ATATTCCTAAACCATCTTCACATTTAGAGTTCAACTCTTCTGAATCACTTTTTGACCTCAAGTGTGTGTGTGAGTGTGTGTGTGTGTGTGTGAATACAATATAATTCTTTGTGTGTCAAGAGTATAGGTGATGCAGCATTTCTTAAAAGAGTGCTCAGCTATCGTCTCTGGACTTTTCTTCCAAGGTACTGATACCCAGCTATTAATTTTGATGCTGGCACTTTCTTCTTCTTACCAGAAGGTGTCAGCAATGACAACTACTTTGCTACTGACACCTGGCCAATGGCCATTGCATGAGCTCACTAGATTTCTAAGTTGTTTATATGTGAAAAAATAAATCTGCATTTTAGAATGAATGAAAACCTAAACTCTGGTTGACATTATTTCAAATATCTCTCTATGCTTATACACAAAAAGCAGAATGAATAAGTAAGTGAGAGAAAGTTTTAGCTCAAGTTAGAAATTATTTTGTAAAATTTGATCACTATTCTACATTTTATCAAAATGTAAGCTTAATTTTAAGAGAAATTGAAGTAGATCTGAAGGAAACGCTGTACTTTAAATATTTTTTCTACCACAGGAGATATTAATTACTCAAAGATTCCCCCAGGGTTAAGGAAAAATGATTATGAAAACCATAAAACCACAAAGAGGTTAGAGTCATTGATTTTTCAAACCTCACGTTTCAGTTTTAGACAGTGTTGATTGATCCGTGCTGTAAGAGGTGAGGTGGTTAGCACAGTTACACTTCCTCGCTTTATCAATCTCCCAGTTTTGTTACTCTGTTGCTTTTCCCTTCATTGGGATTTATATTATTTATATTCTGTTCTGTAACCATAATTTTCAGATTACATACATAATTAAATGTGTCTAAAGCTGACTGCCCAGTCTTTTTACACTGCCTTCTCCATTGTTAAGTTCTTTTGATTTTTGTAATTATTTCTTTTCAAAGTAGTATAGGCATGTGGTTTAAAAAGTCAAATTTTACCACCGGGCTCTAAGTGAAAGACAGCATTTCTCTGCTCCATGTCCTCATCCATCCAAATCTCACTGCTCTGAGGGAGTAATCCCCACCTCCTCCAGTGATCTCCTTTGCTATCACATTCACACCCCAAAGCATTGACTCCCTGCTATGGCAGTAGAGGCTCTAGATAATTTACGGGGCCCTCTTCCTAACACACATGCACACACTCAACCTCCTCTCATCCCCCAAATAGAATTATCACCATTGTCTGTTGGATCAATATCCAGTGCTGAGGCATGCCAACATATATCACACCTGTACTGGCTCATTTTTTTGACACCTCCTGCTTTATATGACAACTTTATTTTCAGTAATAATCATGAAATATAACAAATAATGATAAGGGCCAGAAAAGAAGCACAGAGTAAAAATTTCTTTTACTGACCTTCATATATACAATGCCAGTAAAAACATTTTTAACTTCACAGTACAAAAAAGGAAAAAGTAATCATTTGACTCTTGTGTTATTTATAGTGTAGGTTCTTTGGATGCACCAATTTGCATTTCTTAAGATTTTTTTCGTTAACTTTGTGTAATGTTGAAAGTATTGTATGTTTCAGAATAAATCCATACATTTCTTTTTTACATTTTCCTTATTGAACTCCAGTGGGTTAATATTGTTTTATGCTAGTATGGGTACTGCACTTCAAGTTTCTTTATGAAACTCAAAATAATTACAGACTGAATCAGTTGCTGGTTTCACAACAGTATTACAAATAACTATAAATTCTTCCAAATTCCTGCAGGGCAAAAAAGCACAACTATTTATCCAAGAGTTTTATATCTACTTAATAGAATTTTTATCTTTTGGTTACAGTCTAATATAATAATATTTTAGGTAAATAATTGTCCAATAACTAAGTGATTTTTTTTGTATAAAACTGAAATGTCTTCAAAAGGTACAATCTGGAAAATTACTGTTCATACCGCTAATACTACATTTAATTTTCTGGATTTATTTTTGAGTTTTAAAAAATTAATAATGAGACAGGAAGAATACATTTCAATTTATTCAAATTAAGTAAAACATCATGTATGGATAAAATTTGTATATACCAACCAAATATATTACACCTGGCAGTTCGCACTCTGTTTCACTGTTTTATATTTTAAACACAAATAAAAACTCCAATTGGTCACAAGGAATGACAAAATTAAAGTCAAGTTCTGTTTCTTTACAATTACTGTGCCTGCATTGTTTACTTTTACTCTTCTGTTTAAAAGCAGAAATATGTGGTACCAAAGGGTTGGAGACATGAACTGTACCTGAAATGAACTTGAACAATGATTCTGAACCATTAGAAATTCACTTTCAAAACAATTGCATGTAGCTGAATCCATGGGCACTGGAGACCAACTGTACAACTGAGAGCTCCTCAAATTAACTTTTGTGTAAAATAAAATGTTCATTAAAGGATAAATATTAAAAATGTGTTAATTTGAAGCTTGCAAATATATTATTAAAACTCAACAATAACTTCAATAATTATTTATGAATTATACAAAAGATTTTTTGGGGGGAGAAGTATTTTATCATTGATATTATTTAGAATTGCTAGCGCACAGTGACAATGAAAACCAGACTAACTTTTAATATTTTATTATTATTTTTAAGTTATCTGTAGAGAAGCACCTCTTATTGCTAGCACTTGGGGCAAGTGCTCTCACCATCTTGCCTTTGGTATGCCACTGGTTCAGTGTTTGTATTATCAGATCATACAATTAATATTGATAGGTGAGCCATATACTGTCCTATAATTACATTTCAACTTTTTGTATTTCCTGGAGTTAATAACTGCTTCTTTTTTGTTTACCTAGGTTTCTATATACTAGTTCATTCTGAAAATTTCCACCAGAACTGAAAATCTTCTTTGAATTTATGTTCAGACACACCAAATGAGCTATCCGTTCCACTTTTCTCTTGATGTCAATCCTCCAGCTCTTTGTTTTTTCACTACAAACTGACAGATTGCTTCTTAGACCTGCTGCACACCTGTCTTCTTGGCACTTCTGTTCAACATCACTCAAGAAGTTTCCATTGGTTTTCTTTTGCATTGATTCTCTGGTTGTCTAGATCCCATCTTTTCCTCTTTTTTGTTTACTCCATTCATTATGACATCATGAAAGCACATCTTTTGGTAGCTTTTGGGGAAAGGGTATATGGGGAGGTAAATTTAAAGAACCTGGCATATCTGAAAATGTCTTTATCCTCGCAGATTTTTTATTTTTATTTATTTATTTTTATTTTTTTAAAAGATTTTATTTATTTATTTATTTTCCCCCCAAAGCCCCAGTAGATAGTTGTATGTCATAGCACATCCTTCTAGTTGCTGTATGTGGGACGCGGCCTCAGCATGGCCGGAGAAGCGGTGCGTCTGTGCGCGCCCGGGATCCGAACCCGAGCCGCCAGTAGCGGAGCACGCGCACTTAACTGCTAAGCCAGGGGGCCGGCTGGAGCTTTTTTATTTTTAAATTACATGTAGTAAAGTTGACTTTTTAAATATACAGTTCTATGAATTTTAACACGTGTTAATTCACGTAACTACCACAGAATACAGAACAGTTTCATCACTTCAAAAAACTCCCTCATGTTACCTCTTTGTAGTTATACTCTCCCCCAACCCCTAGGGCAACCACTGATCTGTTCTTTATCACTATAGTTTTATCTTTTTGAGACTGTTATATAAATGGAATCACACAGTGTGTATCCTTTTGAGATTGGCTTCTTTCACTCAGTGTAGTGCCTTTGAGATTCATCCAAGTGGTTGTGTGTATCAGTAGTTCACTGCTTTTTCTCACTGAGTAGTATTCTATTGTATGGATGTACCACAGTCTATCTATTCACCCACTGAAGGACTTTTGTGTTGTTTCCAGCTTTTTCAAAATTCCAAATAGAGTTATAAATATTCATTTATAGGTTTTTGTATAAACAGAAAATTTTATTTTTCTAGGATAAATATCAAGGAGTGGAATTGCTGAGACATATGGTAAGTGTATGTTTAACTTTATAAGATTGCCAAACTGTTTTCTAGAGTGGCAATACCATTTTATATTCCCACCAGCAATGTCTGAGAATTTCAGTTGCTCCACATCCTTGTTACCACTTGGTATTGTCAGTATTTTTTATTTTAGCCTTTCTAATAGGTGGGTAGTAGCATCTCATTGTAATTTAATTTGCATTTCCTTAATGGCTAATGATGTTGAGCATCTTTTAATGTGCTTATTGGCCATCTGTAAATTCTCTTAGGTGAAATGTGTGTTTAAGTCTTTTGCCCATTTTAAAATTGGGTTTTGTTACAATTTGAGTTTTGTAAGTTCTTCATATATATATAAATCCTTTGTTGGATATGTGATTTAAAAATATTATTTCCCAGTCTGAGATAGTCTTTTCATTTTTTTAACAGTGTCTTTCATAGGGTAAAATTTTAATTTTGATAAAGTTCAATTTATCAATTTTTTTCTTTTATGAATCATGCTTTTGGTGTCATGTTGTTAGTGCTGCCTAAATAGCAATGGTAGATATAGCCAAAGGTTAGCATATGTTAGCGTAAGGGAAGCCATCTTGTAGAGGGAACCATGTTGGAGCTATAAATAAACTGATCCACAAGACACCCGTTTGTTGAGTCTTCAATGCTTTAGTTTGCACGTAGCCTGGATAAGTCTACCCCTGCTTGTGAGCAATATGCATGCTCTGCTACTTTCTCAGCCTTAGCTTATGCATAGACCTCCCTATTGTGATAAGACAGTAACTTTGTTTGTGAAGTTTTCCCAGAGATGTGATGACCTTTAGAAAGGGGCCCCTATGCTGGTATCCATCACCAGTGACAAGAAAAAGGGATGATCCAGTGTCTCAAGGACTGCAACACCAGATGGTCACCTTCTGAAGCCCCCTCCTTTTAGCCCATTTGCCCTATATAACTGCTTCAAAATTTTGTAGTTTTAAGATGGTTCTTTAAGGACATGAGTCTGCCATCTTCCCCCTTGCTGGCAAGCTGTAATAAAGACCCTTTCTCTCCTACCACCTTGCCTCTGAACTGTTGGCTTGTCTTTGTGGCAAGTAGAGGACCTCTATTTGGTGGTGACAATGTCTAAAAACTCTTTGCTTAACTCCAGGTCACAAAGATTTTCTCCTATATTTTCTTCTAAAAGACTTATAAATTTTACATTTAGATTTATAAATCATTTTGCATATATTTTTTTGTATAAGGTGTAAAGTTTAGGCAATGTTCAACTATCTGTATATGGATGTACAAATGTTCCAACACCATTTACTGAAAAGAATATCCTTTTTCCATTGAATTGTCTCTGCATCTTTGTCAAGAATCAACTAGTCCTATTTATGTGGGTCTGTTTCTAGACTCTCTATTCTGTTTCATTGATCTCTGTATTTATCCCTTCACCAATACCACACTGTTTTGATTATTGTGGCTTTATAGTAAGTCTTAAAGTTAGGATTCCTCTAACTTTATTTTTTTTTTAAATTTGGCTTAAATTTTGGCTATTCTAGTTCTTTTCCCTTTCCACATGTCTTTTAGAATCATCTTGTCAATACCTACTGAAAAACTTGCTGGAATTTTTGTTGTGTTTGCGCTGAATCTATACATCATTTGGGGGAGAATTGACATTTTAACAACATCAAGTCTTCTGGTCTATGAACATAGTATGTCTCTCCATTTATTTAGGTCTTCTTTGATTTCTTTGATCAACATTTTGAAGTTTCTAGCATATAAATCCTGTACACATTTTGTTAGATTTATACCTAAGCTTTTCATTTATAGAGCTATTTTAAGTGTTTTTCTTTACAATTTAGTTTTTAATAGTTCATTGCTAGTATACTGCCATCTTGTTAAACTCACTTATTAATTTTAGAAGTATTTTTGTATATTCCTTGGGAATTTCTATATAGACAATCATGTTTTCTGAGAATAGGGATAATCTATATACTTTTTCTTTCTTTTTATTGCTTTAATTTACTGGCTGGGACTTTCAGTATGATGTTGAATAGGAGTGGTGAGAGTAGGCACACTTGCTCTTTTCAATTTTCACAGCTTTTTACACAAGAATGCCTATGCAGGGATCGTTAGGCATTTGAGGAAAACGTCTAAGAAAGAGGGCAACAGGAGTCTTTCTTAGTCAGTTCAGGCTGCCAAAACAGAGTACTGTAGACTGAGTGGCTTATAAACAACAGAAATTTATTTCTCACAGTTCTGGAGGCTGGGGAGTATAAGAGCATGATGCCAGCAGAGTCAGTGTCTAGTGAGGTCCACTTCCAGGTTCACAGATGACCATCTTCTCACTGTGACCTTACATGGTGGAAGGAGGATGAGAGAGCTCTCTGGGGTCCCTTTTATAAGGGCACTAATCCCATTCATGAGAGCTCTGCTCTCTCAACCTAATTACCTCCCAAAGGCCCCACCTCCTAATACCGTCACATTGGGTTTAGGATTTCAACATATGAATTTTGGGGGAACTCAAGCTTTAGTCCATTGCAGAGTCCTTTTATTAATACTTCACACTTCATTGATGTTTTGGCTGAGATTGGAGTTGTAGATTGAAAATAATTTTCCCCCGGAATGTTGAAGACATATCTTGATTTTTCTCTAGCATCCAGTTTGCTCTTGAGAAATTTTAAGCTGTTTTGCTTCTTGTTCTTTTGTGGGTGACCCATTCCTTATCTCTGGAGGCTTTTAGGATCTCCTATTTGTCCTCAGTGTTTTGAAATTTTACAACGAAGTGTTTGGTATGGGTTTTATTTCTTCTGCTGATATTCGTTGGGCCCTTTCAATCTGGGAAATTTCTCGTATTACTTCTTCAATAGTTTTCTCACCTCTGTAATTGCCATTCTTTGGGGAATTCCTACTGAATTAATTTCCAAGCCTCTTATGTATTCTCTCCAGTTCTTAATTTTTATTCTACATTCAGAGGTAATTTCAACTGCATCTTCTAAGCCCTCTGTTGACATTTTTACATATGCAAATATATTTGAGTTTCTAAGAGCTATTTTGTATTCTCTATTTTTTCTTATTCTTATTTTATAGATATAATATTTTGTTACCTCTCTCTAAAGATACTAATTATATGAACTAGAGAGGTTTTTTTCCCAAAGATTTCTTGTGTTTCCCGCATCATTTTTGTTTTCTTCCCATTCGTTTTTCTATTTATTTTATTTTTGCTCTTTCATCTGGGAAGCCTTCCTTAAATGCGTGTTGATCTTCGATTGTCTATATCCAGTTAAGAGTAGGGCACTAAAATGTTCACTGGAACCTCTATGTATAGGCAGGGCTTTTCTACTGACAGACTTCACTTTAGCGGGTCAGGTGGGAAATCAGTAATTCACTGGAGGACCTCCAAGTACCAATATGTTGAGGCCTATTTTTCTGGGGTTGTTGTTTCTCCAAAGAAAAATCTTGGTTTCTTGCCTTTAAGTTAGATGCTAGAGTTTTGCCCTGGGTTAAAGAGGGAGATGAAACGAAGTCCTCTTTTAGTCAGGGAAGTTCCCACCTACATCCTCTCGTTTCCATTACCTATACTTGAGTTTGAAATTTTGTTTTGTGTGTGTGAGGAAGGTCAGCCCTGAGCTAACATCTGTTGCTAATCCTCCTCTTTTTGCTGAGGAAGACTGGCCCTGGGCTAACATCTATGCCCATCTTCCTCTACTTTATATGGGAGGCTGCCACAGCATACCTTGACAAGCGGTGCATCGGTGCGTGCCTGGGGCTGGAACCCGTGAACCCCGGGCCGCCAAAGCAGAGCGCACGCACTTAACTGCTATGCCACTGGGCTGGCCCCTATATTTGAGTTTGTGACCCCTGGTGTTATAGGAATTTTTCTGTACAAGACAGACTTTGTGTCATTCTTGAGCTTCTCGTGCTTTTGGCCCATCACGTTCATCCTTGTTGCCAGGTACCTTACAACAGCATGGCAGACACTGCACATTGCCTACCCAGTACCATTCCAAATCCCTTCTTTCTTGCCTGTCTCCTACCAAAGTAGCTGAAAAGGCCAGGTATTTATGTTCCCAGACCATTTAGCAGCTAGGAGTAGTCATGTGATCAGTTCAGTAATGGCCCATAAGACATAGGGGTATTCACTGGGGAGTTTTGGGGAAAGATTTCTCTTCTGTGATTAAAGGAAAGAGATTTAGGAGGAGAAAAACCTTGTCCCACACCCCTTTACTCCTTCCAGCCTTTGAACGAAATTGTGTGAGGACAAACACGATTGAGGCTGTGGAGGCCATCGTGGCTCATGAGGGAAAGGCCAAGAGCGTCACAGATTTATTGAGCCATGGGTCGCAGCTGGCTCATTGGCTATGATGCCCTGATTTTTCTTAATTACCTTTTTATCCTCCTCTTTCTTTTCTTATCTCCTATCTCCTTTTCCCTTTCTCCTCTCTTCTCTTCACGCCCCTCACATCTTTAAGGGTTTCAAAGCTGGGATGAATCAGAGACACAGGCAAAGTTATAGGCCCTTAACTGCCCTCATTAAGTCTTCTCTGAAACAAGATGGGGTATGAATAAACGAAGGAAATGCTCCCTCTATGTCCATTCTCTCAACTCTCCCGTCTCTCCTCCTCCCTGCTACCATAGAGGCCTCCATCTGTAGGTCATTCTCCTGCATAACATCCTCCGCTGGCTTCTCATGTCCTATAGAATAAAATCTAAATTTGTTATCCTGGTGCCTCAAAGCACTTCAGAGTCTGATCCCTTCCTCCTCTCCACTCTAGTCTCCCACCACTTCCCCTGTGCTCCAGCCTTGCTGAGACACTCGGGGTTCCTGGAGTGTATGCTGGGCCATTTCATCTCCAGGCCTCTATTCTCCCTGTCAGAAACACACTTCTGCCTCCATGCATGAACTTCCCCTTTGTTCAAATGTCACCTCCTCTGGGAAGCCTTTCCCTCTCTCCCAGGCGTGGCTAGTAGCTCAGCCCTTTAACCTTTGAGCATTTCCCTAGTAGAGCTATTTCCTCTCTGTGGTGAGTGCATTTATGTGTTTCTGGGCCTGTTTTCCCCATCAGCCTGTGAGTTCCTTGAGAGCAAAATGTATGTCTTATTTTTGTATCTCTAGCAATGAGGGTAGAGGCATAAAACCACGTGTGCCACTCACTGCTATTTAACTCTTTAAGAAATTTCATTTCAAATTATTAATTCCATACTTGACAAAAGTTTGCTGAACGCCCACAATAGACCAGGTATGATATGCCAAAACAATGAATCACATTGTACTCAATTTGTAAAAGAGAGAAAGAAAGAGGATAAATCATCTATAACCCCATATCCCTTAACACATTTGTTGTTGAGATCTGGGTATTTACTTCAGGTATTTTTGAACAAAACAACTTTTAAAGTGGTTCCAGTGAGCCTTATTAGCTGCAGTGGCCGTGGCTCTCTGCTCAGCATTTCCATTAAAAGTTTACAGGCCCCAGGAGAGGTAGACGAGCCAGCTTAGCTCTCCCTTAGGTTCTGACCTTCCATTGGGGCATAGCAGTGAGTCAGTTTCCAGTGGGGATTGTTAATGATGTTAATAATGTCTCATTTGAATACTATTTTATGTTTTCCATATTCCTACAGCAGCATTAACTCATTTATTCTCATCTATAATCCTCATTGTGCCCACTGTGCAGATGAGGAAACGGAGGCACTCAGCAAGGGGTGATGGAAGAAACGTTGGTGCAATAGTCCGGTGTATAAGACCCAGCTAAGCCATTAACCAATCACGTGATTTGGGGCAGGTTATATCATGTCTCCAGGCCTCAGTTTCTGCATATAGGAAAGTAAAAAGTTGGATTAGAGGACCTCTTCAGTTTTTATAGAACTTCAATATTCCATGACGTTATGTCCTGCTCAAGGTTACATAGCTTGTTTGTGGCAGAACCGCGGCAAGAATCCAGATTTTTTGGCTCCTAGTCCAGTGCTTATCTGATCATACCACAAATAATCTGAGTTCCTCCACAAGTTTCCTCCAGAATGAGTGGATGCTATGGCTTCTACCTCCTTCTCCTCTGTCCATTGTTGGGATAGAAAGACTTGGCTGGAGGAAAGGAACAGGGAGGAGGATGGGTAGGATGGGAGGGTGGATTAAAAGAAGAACGGAGCTGTAACACTTTGCACTTAAATCTGGGCTATAAGGAAGCATGATCCAGAGTATAAGTGGTGGAAATCTTGGGGGAAAGTGGCCAAGTTACTTTTTGGAGGATTTTTTGGAGAAAGGAATGAAACTTGGTCACATATCCTCAACCTTGAATAAGGCAGCTCTTAAAAGAGAGAGATAAAAATGTCTGATTTCACAGGCAAAGACAATCTCTGAAAGATAATGCGTGGCAAGGAGACAGGAGAGGCTCCTATCCAAGGGCAGATGTGAAAGTGTTGTGAATCTGTAAAATAGCCTCAAGGTTAAAGCAAGAATGAGCTGAACCTTTGGGTAAGGAAAACTAATCCAGGCCCGTTGCCCAGGGAAGCTGAGAGACCACAGAGCTCCTCGGCTCCTGTTAACTCCCATTTACTCCACAAGGGCTGACATTTAAAGCAGGAAAGGGAAGGAAACACACAAACACACACACACACACACACACATGAAAATGAGACCCCAGAGAGCTGGGAAGATGGTGAGTCCAGATCATCAGGCCCAGATACATGGTCTCCCAGGTGAACTCCAACCACGTGTGAACTCAAAACTCAACCATGATTGTAATCTTTTTTCTCTCTGTTTTCAGATTGGATAATTTCTATTGATCCATCTTCAAGTTCACTGACTTTTCCCTCTGTCACCTCCACTGAGCCCCTTCAGTGAATTTTTTATTTCCATTGTTGTGTTTTCCAGTTCTAACATTTTCCGTTTCCAGCTTTCATTTCTTTGCTGAGAACTGCTATCTTTCCATGTGTTTTGAGGATGTTCACTTTTACCTCAGGGAGCATGGTGATAAAAGCTACTTTAAAGTCCTTGTTTGATCGTTTCAACATCGGCCTCATGTTAGAGTTGGTGTTTGTTGATTGTCTTTTCCTTGCAAGTTGTTGACATTGTCCTGTTTTTTTTTTTCTTTTGATGTTCAATAATTTTGGATTGTATCTTGGAAATATTGTATTGTGAGACTTTGAATCCTGTCAACATTGTCTGGAGAATGTTGATTTTGTTTTCTTTGTTTCTTTGAGCTGTCAGTTAACCTTGTAAGTCCCGACCTGTCTTGTGTGAGATGCGCTTCCAATGTCTGCCGACTTTTCAAAGCCTTTGCAGTGCTATTTGGGTCTGAGCCATGTGTGCACCTAGGGGCCAGTCTGAGACCAGGGTGGTGGTCCACACAGTACCTCAGTTCTCAAAGCCTTTGCTATACTGTTTCAAGTCAGCCCTACCCATGCACAAATTTAAGGATCCCTTTCTCTTTGTGATTTATGCCATCTGGCTCCCAGGGGCCCCTTTTCATGATGCTCTGGCTGCAAAGCCAGGGTTTTAGCCTCCCTGTGCTGTCATGAACTTCCCATGACTGAGTCCATCTCTGGGCAAAATGGTGAAAGTGAAGAGAGCGAAAAAATACGAGGATTCCCCTCGCGCTATTTGGACCCCAGGAGTTCGTTTATCCAGGTCCTCTGGTAAGAGAGGGTTTTTGTTCAGAGTTTCAAGTGCCTGTGCAGGCGCTGCAGGATTGTAGCTCCATGATAGGGCTTGACTTGGTATAGGGCCAGAAGAAAAAGAAAAAGGAAAAAAGTGGAGATTTCCCCACATATTCTCAATCCTGCAGGGGCCCCTTTCCCAGTCTTCTTGCTATAAAGAGAGGGCTTTTCTGGGGGTTTGTTGTCCATGTCCACTGTACACTTCTGGGACTGCGGAGTCTAACCCAGTAGCTATGGAAGGAAAAAACATCAGGGAACCAACCACCATATTGATTGCTATTCCAGTTTTGGCTTCCCTCCCCAAGCTGCCTGCTGCTGTTCTCCTCTCAGAGCCTCGGATTTTAGTTTTTATTTGTAACAAGTGAGAGAAGTTGGATGGAGTCTTAGAACCCCTAGGTTATGGTTTTGATTTGTTTGCTAGATGTGTCTTTCTGGTGTGATCTCATTGTCCTTGGGATCTTATTCTACTCTTTAGTCTTTTATTTCTTATAACAACTTTGTATGGGATTTTCTCTTGGTATTTTTCCGTGGCTCACTTTTATGTGAAAGTAGTTTTGCTGAACTTTTAGAAGGAGGCATGATTCACGCATCTCACTCTTTTGTTGTTTTTATGTAGTATTCAAAAAAGTGGTTTCTCGCTTTCTGAGATTCACTAGCTCTTCTAGAGCTAGCTCTGTCCTCCCTGCCATTTTTGTCTGTACCTTCTATTCCCTTTGTCTCAGTTGTCTCATGTGGATCAGTTTTGATCCCACTCACAGCAGTTGTCTTCCATGTGGGGTGTGTGCTGGATGGTGGCTTTGTCTTGTCAGTTCTGAGAGTTCCTATGACTGAGATGGCTCCAGTTCCTTCAGTTGTGACTCTAGGCTTCTTTCATCCGTCCTCCACTGAATTTGAAAGAACCACTCTCAGTTTCAGCTGCTGTTTTTGACTTGGTCTTCCATACTTTCTAGAGAATACCTTTTGGTTATTTTTTATTTTCTTCCTTTCAGTTCTGTCAGGCACCCTGTTTCTTCCCTCTGCTTCCTTCTTCACAGATGCTGATACCATGCAGCCCTTGTGCAGGACAAAGAATCAAACCACTCATAAGGAAGAAAATCAGACTGGCTTTAGGCTTTTCAACAACAATATTTGATTTTATAAGACAATGAGGCAATGTCTATATGGTCCTCAGGAAAAGAGCGTGTGATGCTCTTATATCCAGATATGCCGCCATTCACGTATAAAAGAGACAGATGTTTTTAAATGTGCAAGAATGCAGAGCATATTTTTGCAGCTCTTTTTGAAGAAAATACAGAAGGTGAACTTCAGTATATCAAAAGATAAATGAGAGGCTATGCTAAAGGTACTGATGCTGAGTATTAAACTTATTTAAAGTAGATTTAAGGTTAAACACTCGAGGGAATTACAGTTTCAAAATATACTGTAAATATTAGAAACCACAAAGAAGTGGAATTAGTAACATAATTAGCAAAAGTTGGAAGATAGTAAAAAGAATAATAGGAAGTAGTTTAAGCATACTAATTTCTTTCTTTTTCATTGTTTAAAGCTGATAAATAAAGTAATGGGTATATGAGTTTAATTTACATTTTATAAAGAATTACTATTACCACTAGATCAACTAAGAAATATAGTATACATAACTAAAATTGGGGAATAAAACAGAGGAGAGGGAAGGGAGCTGGGAAAAGGGGATATATCAATTTCCTTATATTTTAACATGTATAGTCAATAGATACTGTCTAAAGTGGATAAGAATTATATATGTGTATATATACTTTAGATATATAGATAACAAACAAAAATAAAAAGAAAGACATATTGTATTGTAAAAATAAAATATAAAAGATAGATATCATTAAGATAGAAAATTAAATAAGATGATTGAACTAAAACCAAATGTGAAGGAGAAATACACAAATCTACAATCATAATGGAAAGTTTAAAGATATTTCTCCCAGTTACTGACAGGACATGAGAAAAAAATAAGGATATAAAATATTTGAGTAACACAATTAACAAATTTGACCTAGTTAACATAGAATACTGCATCCAACAACTGTCAAAATCATTTTCAGATATACATGGAACATTTACCAAAATAGACTGTATGCTAGGCCTGAAAGTAATTTTCAACAAATTATAGAGGACTGAAATCATCCCAAATATGTTCTCTGACCACAGTGAATTTAAGTTAGAAATTTATAATATAAAGATAACCAGTGGGAAATGCACAGAAGATGGCTGAAGCAACTATTTTGGAACTCTGGAGTCTGGTCAAATAATTTCAGTATCCAAGGAAGTGCTTGATGAAGAAAGAGGCAGGTAAATTTTAGTGAATTTTGGCATTTCGTGAATGCCTACCAGTCCCCAACCCCCAGCCCTGTGACAGGCATCCATGGGGATGGCAGTCTGTGATCCTGGTGTGGCTTGCTTGTACAAGGGTGGGCATAGAGACATTGCCCTCCAAAAATTGAGGTTGTGCATTTTGATTGCTGCTTTTGATCACTGAGGAGGCAGCACAGAGGCTGGCCATTGTTTGAACTTCCATTGGCTGAAGTGGCTTTCTCAGTGGCACTGGTTAGAGAAGAATAAAAATGACAGACACCATTTTTTTCCATTTCTTTTTTTTTTGGATCCAAGCATTTAAGGAAATCTCTGTCAGGTCATTGGCTGACCATGGAAATAATGGAACAAGGACTTCAGTGACCACACACAACAAGAAATATAGTCTTTGTGAAAATAGATTGGAAAAGTTACTAAACAAGTGGATGACTGAAGCCTTCATCAAGTAACAAGAGCAATCTCTGCAGAGGGATTACCAGGGTTACCACATACAATATTTAAAACATCAAGTGCTCAACAAAAAATTACAAAGCATACAAAGAA